AACTTTTCTCGAAGATCTTGTTGGGTGGCCTGTGCCCCGGCGGCCATATTGTTCTCTTTCTCGGTAGAGAGAGATCTCATGTTCCATTGCTTGCTTTTACTAGTTTCGAGTGATCTGAAGGCTTCTAATTCGCACGCTGTTGAGAGTGCTTCGTCTAAGCTAGGTACTTTTTCTCTGCTCAGCCTCAAGCGGTCAACACGGTCACCAATAGCATCAATGAAATGCTGAATACAAAATCTCTCTTGTGCCTGTGGGGGAAGGTCTTGGTAGGCTAGACTACAGGCATCACGAATATCAGCGGCCAAACTTCTAAGGCTTTCTCCCTCTAATTGTCGTCGATTTAACAATCGGGCTTGGTGCAGTTCTTGTTGTGTCTCTCCGCCGAAGAACGATTCCAGTCGAGAGACCAACTTGTTGTAATGTCGACAGTCATTGTCAGACATGCTGTGTAGGATCTTTTGAGCAACTCCACGCAAGGCGGCCGAGAAAAATACTACAGATTCTTTAGGGCTCCAATCGTTAACTACAGCACATCGATTGAAATGTCGCAGGTAATCTCTCAGTGAAGTCTTGCCGTTGTAATCGTCTGGTTTACCGGTTTTCTGAATCTTTGATGCGCGCGACGATTCGCTCGATGTGTGATTATTTCCGTCGGCTTCATCTGACTTAAATGGATTTTAAAACGTATTTAGTAGGCTGTTCACAAATTCCTCTCCTGGTGATCGAGGTGCACATGTGTTCTTCAACGAGGTTTCGTCACGATTTGGGCTGAACGGAATGATGTCACTTGCTGAAAATCCGATCGGACGTGCTCTAAACGGGTTAGCAGATCTCTTTGGGGTTCAAAACATGTCAAGTCCATGGCTGAGTCGAAATGCATTTTTAACCGCTGCCACCAGTGTAACGTACCGTTATGAGTTCGCTTCCCTCAGATCAGTCAACACTAAAACTCAAGACTTTATTAAAGTCGCCATTCCTGCAACACGTGTTCTTCCGTCCAAAACCATACCCCCCGGGGGTAGGGGTGCGTTACAACATTACAATACGATCCCAAGAGTCATAACATATACTAAGAAGGTTCCAAAAATTATAAAAATATATAAATAGAAAATTACAATTGTTTGAGTAGTTTAGTTTTCAGGCGAATTTGGAAGACAGTGACTGAATCGCACAATTTAAGAGAGTGATCTAAAAAATCCCATAAGTTAACTCTTCTATAATGAAAAGTTGTTTGGCCTCTAGCGGTTTTAAAAGTGGAATATTCCAAAATTGTGAGTTTCTTGAATTACGACCGCTCACCTCTGATCGCTTTAAGAATTTGAGGATATGTATTTAGGGGCGTGGCCCGTTATATATTTAAAGGCCATCGTAGCACTGCCACAGATAGCCAGTTAAGCTCTTTACGAATGGGCGTAATATGCTCGTACTCACGCGCTCCGCTCACAATGCGGTAGGCAAAGTTTTGCACAGCCTGCAGTTTGTTAATATTACATTTCGATGTATTTGAACAATAAAATAATTTACTAAAAACTAAAGAGTTAATACTCAACAGGAGTGTACTACTTTTATCTAAAGCATGCTTAACGCGGTTTATTTTGCCAAGGCGGGACATGCATGAGGACGCGGTCTTAAATATGTGTTCATCGTAAGTTAGATGGGAATCTAAAATCACGCCTGTCTTTAGGAGTGTCTGAGGGGACAATGTCTCTCTTCTCATAAAGGGAAGGAAGTGAAATTGCAATTTTGCACGCACTTGCTTCAACTATATTACAGGGTATTCCTCGATTCTAACAAATCTATATTGGATCCTGTGACGCGTTTGGACAAATTGTGCAAGAGAAAATATCTGATGGAAAGTAATCTACTGAATATACCAGAATAATTTAACGCATATATTTATTTATTTTCAGGTAAGCGTCTCTAATAACCGACTTGGAGCTGGTCAGGTGCCGATCCGACTGCAAGTGCAACCGACTTTAGTTGCAGCCCAACCAGTGGTGGCCATTCCGCGATCAGGCGCTCGCCCATGAATGAATAACTACTGTGAACGCTTCAATTATCCCCATTGGGAGGGAGGGAAAGAGTTCATCAGACGGGAGACTTCTTAGAAAGGGGAGGGGAGGGGAGGGGAGTGACCTGGTTGAGTAGAATTCCCTCTTCATTCATATAAACCCATTCATTTCAGCTTCATAGCAAAATAAAATAGAATAAGGCTACTTACTGTGTGTATTTTCCATTTTTTAAGACTGATTCCGCACAAAATAAGGTTTGGTAACACCTCTCCCCCCGCAAAACCCCTCCCGAATGAAAAGCCTTAACTTAGCACCATAAACGCTTGCAGGACCCTCATTAAGCTTGCAGGACCCTGATTAAAATCCTTCTCCTGGCTTATATGTATCCCCGTGAAGCAGAGGCCTTTTATGATCGCTAATATCAACTGATTTCACCTTGAAATTGACACCTCAAAATGCCGTCACGTATTAAGTAAAAAAAAAATGGAAGGGAAGCCTTACAAATCATACTTGTTGAAGGTTATCCGCACGAGCGATTGTTTCTGGATGACTATTTGCTAGCTAGCTGTTAGGGTAGTTAAATGATTACATTCATTGAGAAACCAGACAGCAAATCTTTGTCGCTCTCAAAGCCATTCTGGCCTTCACAAGCGAAGAGGTTGCGATGAGTCTGGGAACGAGTTATTGTGGTTCCGTCAGTTTCAAAAGTTATTAATATGTAAATATTTTAGCTTAAACGTCGCGGAAAATATTCTATTCGACATGGCGTTCAGCCGGCGAGAATTGAAAATCATTTCGATTATTCAGCTGGTAATGGCAGTTTTCTTTTCCGCATTCGGCATCGCGGACTATTTTGAAGTTCGCTACGTGAACCTCAGCTTTTTGTTCATGCCATGTTGGATCGCAGCTCTCGTAAGTACACTTGAAGACGTAGAACTATAGGCGTTCTCTTGCCAAAGGTCGTACTTGTGACAATTAAAATAGATAATCGAGGTTCATAGCGAAGAAGTTGAACAATTTTTCGCTGGTACTTCTATTCGTATTAATGATAAGACCAGTGAGACCAAATATCAGTCAACCGCTCTCAGCTGACATTTGTCGGGAAACTGTCAAAATCGAGAACGGCTGCAGAAATTTAGGCTGGAATTGATATATATTGGAATTAATTTGATGAGCTGATAGGTCTTGATCCTATACATCGTCGGTCGATTTTTCCTAGTCTACACTAGAAATGGGCCGATTAGGTCGTATTACAGTTTCTGGAAGGAAAATTTCGTTTTAAGAACGTGACTTTTGGAAAGCTATAAAACACCTAGCTATTAACGATTAGCATAATTTTGCAGCTGTTTTCAAACGCCTTAGGGTCGACTTCCGCTAAGGACTTTGAACTGATATGGCTTGACTATGTATAGAGGCTGATAGTTTCTAAAGAAACTGTTTGGGGCTGCGTCGGTGGGGGTAACGAAATGATTTGGATATATCAACAAAGTTGAAATGGTAAATTGGCCACCGTAACAATTACAAAAGCTGACGTTTCAAGCATTAGCCCTTCGTCGGAGTTGACTATGTATAGCACGGTAGAATTTTCAAGCAATACATTTAATTCAGTCGCACCAAGATGAGTTTAATATTCGCTCAGGTAATCACACGATTTCGATTACAATAAGGAATACAGTGAATAAGCACGCGAGTGGGTAAAAAGTTGCAACTAAACAGTTGTAATCAGTTGTACACTGATTTATCTCTCTTCAGTATTGTCAGGTTACCTGAAATCTGCATTTTCTGGGTCAAAAACAGAGTTTCTTTCATACATTGTATTTATTTCATTCATTTACTATGAAATATAATGAAAAAAATATAAGGAATATATGAACTATAGCGGGGATCAAGGAATGTAAATTAGTTTTTCACAACACGCGCGTACGAGACTGAGCCGTTTGAAATGAAGTCGTATTGCCGTATCTCGCCGAAACAAAGTTATGCGTTCTTATGCTCGAAGGGAAAGCTGCATTTGGATCAGTTTAGGCTGGGCTGAGTTGCAACAATCCATAAGAAAGCCGTGACTTATATCTGATGTGCCGAACCCAATGCATAGATTATTGTAAAATGTTTTCTGATGCATCACTTAAAATTGGCTTAGAATTGAGTGGGGTCACCAGACATGCAGGAGACGACGTCAACTTTATTTACCCACAGTTAACCTATTTTAGTAATTGTAAACATTCACATTAACACTTAAGTCTACCCAATATCATGTTTTACTTCTACCTGGCTATTCTCTCAGTATTTCTCAAATAACACAAAGTAAGGCCGTTTCTTTAATGAAATTGGATCTTAAATATTCTGGGTATAATTGTGTGACGTTTGGTACTTAAAAAAAGATTTTGCTGATTGTACGTCTCTCCATTCCAAACCATTTCATTTGACTTTAGGGGTCTAGGCAAAGAGGATAAAGAGCATCCACGGCAACAATATTCCCTAGGGTCTTAAAACTTGCCTGCACCTGTACGAACAAGCTTGTAATGGTTTTGAGAAGGGAAACTTTGCAAACTCTACTTTCTGCCGTTTGACATGATTTCTAAAACCTAAAATTCTACTGCTTGCTCGGACAGGTATTGCCAGCGGGAATTATGGGATTGATTGTGGCGAGTAGGACCAGACGCTCCTCGATTCTGGTGAGAATGATTACCAACTGAAATGTATGAGACTCATGTGACGAGAAAATATTTAAATAACGTCTTAGTTTTGCGTGACATTGAACAGGTATTCCCTGACTTAAAGGTTCATGTGCAGCACTTAGACTGGTGAGATATATTTGAGGCTCAGAAAATAATTGCCATCTCTAATTCCATGATTTCAGATAAACTGGCTCTATAGTGGCATCCTCGTCTCGGAGAGGCGATGGTCAGCGCATCAGTGTTGGTGGGCTCTTGAGTGGCTCAAAAGCCCGATTCTTGAGTGGCAATCTTTGTTGCAGCTGGAACAGATGTAATTGGTGGCCTCTTGATCTGATCTTTGATGTTTCTTTCTCGTCCCCCTCTTGATAGTCGCCTCGGCCCTGGCCTTCATCTCAGCCCTGTGAGCCCCGTCCTTCACACCCCGACGCCAGGCATTCCGGTCTGACGCAAAGATCTCCCAGGTGTTGGGGATGATTTCAGTGAGTTGCAGGTCACGCTTGCAAACGTCCTTGAAGCGAAGGAGTGGTCGGTCCGTGCGTCGGACGCCCTCTCGCAGTACCCCATAAAGGATTTGTCTTGGCAAGCGACCGGGGTCCATACGGTGTACATGGCCAAGCCACCGTAAGCGTCTTTGGATGAGTAGTGTAGAGATGCTAGGCATGTCGGCTCGCCCAAGGACCTCGGTGTTGGGGACTCTGTCCTGCCATTTGATCAGGAGGAGACGCCGAAGGCAGCGGAGGTGGAACCCGTTGAGCCGCTTCTCTTGTCTGGCGTATGTGGGCCATGACTCGCTACCATAGAGGAGTGTGGAAAGGACACAAGATTGGTAGACTTGCAGCTTGGTCCTCTCGCTCAGCAGGTCGTTGTTCCACACTCTTTTGTTGAGTTTGGCCATGACTCCCGCTGCCTTGGCAATCCTTGAACTGATCTCGACGTCTAGCGATGTCTTGTTTGACACTGCGGACCCTAGGTAAGTAAAAGAGTCTACCACTTCTAGTTCATTATTGTCGATTGTAATGACGGGAGGTGTCAGTGCATCTTGGGCAAGGATGTT